ACCTCTATCGGGGGAGTCCTGGGAGCAGCAGCCTTGAGATTAAATGGACCCGTAATGCCTTAACCTTACTTTTGAAGTAGCTAAATTGCATCATGGTGTATTGCGATTGCTTAAATGGGTTTGTTATAGAACATTAGGCTTAAAAATACAAATAAATCCAAAACATTTCTGCCACTTGAGGCATTTGAAAGAGTACACCACAGACAAGCCTTCTGCACTGAGGTCGGCTCTGGGAATGGAGGAGGGTACTGGCAGGAGCCTCGCGGCTGAGAGGGCTGAGGTGGTGTGTGGGGCTTGGAGGACCGTGGCAGTCACTCCCTCCTGGCTTTGGGTCCATAGATGGCAGGCATCCTAGTGTTTGAGGTTTTAGCCCGTTTCCCATTTACAATTTCTTGTCTCCACCCCCCGCCTGCCAGGGTCCTACTTTGCACTCACTGGCCGTGTTGCCCTGTTACTGGTGTGTGTGTCCTCCCAGGAGGACGTGTCCTCTCAGAGGAGGTTCCCTAGAGACTGTGTCATGATCAGGCACATGGGGAACAGCCCGGGGGGAGGGCTGGGTGCTGTGTACCTGCCTCTCCGTGGACAGAGGCAGCCCCTTTGTTCTGCTTACCTGAGATGTGCACTCAGCCTCCTACAAGGGGTGGGAGGGTTGGGGAGGGGTCCATCTTTCCAGAACCTGAATCTGTTTGCGTTTTAGCAAGGTCAGGTTTTCTTTGCAGTCTTGCTCGTGGAGCAAGACACATTTGGGTATACTGGGTGTTCTGCTAGGAGTTGACCCAGACAGGGGCCTGAGAGGGACACCGTACTGGGTCCTGTGGGAGCAGGGGCTATTCAAAGACTCTCTTCCCAAAGCCAGGGCCCTGCTGGGCAACCCCTCCTGTGTTCTTTTTACTCACAGTCATATGGGAACTGAAGCTCCTCCTGTTTTCTGGAAATCCCAGCTCAGCCTCAAAAATGTGAATCTTGTCCCAGAGGAAGCGAGGTAGGAGCAGCGAGGGCTCTTGATACAGCCCCAGACCTGGGGGGCTAGCAGGTGTTGGAAGATGAGGTTGAACACAGCTGTTGTGGTTGATGAGGCAGGAGCTGCCATCCTTCCTTTTAAGTCTCGTTGCTGCTGCAGTCCCGGCAGGCTCAGCAGTTTGTTTATTCCTTTGTGCCTCTCCTTGTTCCAAAAAGGGTCTGAGGTGTGGTGGGCTTTCTCTCCTGGGGAGACTCACCACCAGTGGGCTCTCCACACACAGCCTGCTCCTTCTGTGCAGCCAGAGCACCTCAGGCTCCAGTTTTGGACTTTCCCCCTCTTCTATTTAGAAGGGAAATGTGCATTTCAGCAAGAACTTTAAATCCCTTTTGTGCCATCCCTTGTGAAAATAAAAAGAACACATGTTGGAGGGAGAACAGAGACTCGAGGCCGGGCACCCACTGCTAGCTTTGATGTGGGACTTGCCCACAGCTGGGAGAGGAAGAGGTTTCTTTTCCTCACGCTCTGCCCTTGGGGAAACAGCCCAGCTCCTTCAGTCTTCTCCGAAGCCTCCTTGTCCAGGGACACTCCTGACCAAAGGCACACTCCGGCCGGGCATGGTTTGTGGGAGACAGAGGTCGGGTTAGCCCCTTCAGGACTCACAAAGAGGCATGAACAGGGGTGTTTGCTGAGGAATGTTTTGTAAGGAAAAATGCTGGTGATGCCCAGTGCGTCTCTAAGAGTGTCCTGTCCACGTGATGTTACATCCCCTGCTTGCAGGAGCCTGTAGTCGTTTTTAAAAATGAGGAAGGCATGGAAGGATCTATAAGATACATGCCTAAAAAAGTTGCAGAATAGTATCTACAGTGTTCCACTTACATAAAAACCCACGTGTGTCTCTGTGTGTTATGTACATACATGTGTCTGTGCGGCCATCCACTGTGGACGTGGGACAAGTGATTTCCTCTGGGGAGTCAGGTCGGGCTAGAGGGACAGGGCTTCATTTTTGTTGTGTTTTGTTTTCACTTGATCTACTTCTGATTGCTTGAATTGGTTATAACTAAAGGTAAAATAGAAAAAAATGGAGGATTTTTCACAACAGGATTTGTTCATGATTCGTGGAGGCCCGAGGGGACTAGTGAGTCCTGCTGGGTAGACAGTGGAGCAGGCAGGGCGGCAGGGAGGGCCGGGGGCCGGGCGCAGTGGGAGGTTTGCAAGTGATCAGCTTTCAGTCGGGCCCTAGTCACTGCATACCCTCCATGCCCTAATTCCCTGCCTTTCTGCTCCTGAAGTTTGCCACTTGTCTTCCTTACTGTTATGTTCTCCTGTCAGTTTACTTCTGGCTTATCAAAAATTAGCATTTGCAAATATCAGGAGTTTCATGCAGCTCACCAAAGATGGCTCTTGTCTACAAAAGGAGTGGAGCTCCCAGGTAAGGAGACAGACTGACTTCAGATGAGAAGTTTGCCAGATGTTGACTTAGAAAGGTTATTTAGTTTGTTTTCTGATTTACTGTTTATAATTTTCTTTTTTCTGTTCGTTTTCATTCTTGATGTTTCTACAGTTACCTTCTGAAAACAGTCTGGGAGAGGGGCAGATATTCACAGCTTCATCCCTCTTTGCCCTTTCTTAACTTCCACGTGTTCCTGTCTGAGAAGTGAATGAATACAGTCATTTGATGAGCCAATAGAGCAGGCCTGTACTGATTGCTTAGTACGTTTGTTGTCGTTTTCCTCCTGCATGAAATCTGAGACGATGAATCGGTTTGTTCATCCTTGGGGTGGATATTGGCTGGTGTTACAGCCGATCAGCAAGTGTTAAATTAAGAGCTCAGATGAGGCCTCCTAACTTTCTAGGATCGCAGTGAAATATCACTGTCAAGATTCTACTCAATGTCCGTTTTTTATCTCACTAGTCCTCTTGTTTTCCTAAGAGGATGCCCATGCGCGGTTTCCATTTGGGGGTTGAAGTGAACAGATTTCAGTCCCTCGTATAGTTCTGGTGCTGACACAGACCTCCCTGCCCCGTGGGGGTGCTGGATATTTTCCATGTTTTAATTCTAGTTGTTAAAGTGTTCTGTTTGTTATAAATTTTTGAGAAATATAAAAATATATAAAATAGGAAATAAAAATGTGTAATAAAAAAAAATCATCCCTTACCATTTTGGTGTATTTTTTATTTTCTTCTTTTCATTTTTTTGGAATGTATTTTCCCCCAGGAAGTTGCAGAAGTTTCTTGATAGAACTATTATAAGGCATAAATGAATTATTATATGTAAAGTGACCAAGTATATTAGTTATTATTATTATAAACAGTTTTTATTCTGCCTTGATATTTTTTATCAACTACACTTCCTATGCTAGTAAATATTATTCAGAAATGTGATTTTCAAGACTATTTAATTTTCTGCCATGTAAATAATTTAGCAAACTATTTTTATTTTGTTGGATAGTTCAGGATAGTTTTTGTTGGATAGTTATTTTCTTTTCTATCCTTATATAAATAATATTCTGATGAACTTGTTTCTTTGTTTATAGTTCTATTTCCTTAAGTTAAGGAATTTCTGTAAGGAATTTTATGTATATGAAATAATTAGGTCAGGTAATTAAAATATTTTAAAATTTTTTGATATATAGACAAAGTATCCTCCAGAAACATTTGCTGATTGTCACTTCCAGGAATGTGTGAGATTCTCCTTTTTATGGTAGCCTCAACATTGAAGGTTTTTATTCTTGATAATTTGACAGTCATAAATAGTATCTCTGTTTTAATTTGAGCATTTTTTTATTGATGTTTTAATAGTTTATAACATTGTGAAATTTTGGGTTGTACATTTTTGTTTGTCCATCACCATATATATGTCTCCCTTCACCCCTTGTGCCCACCCCCTACCCCCATTGCCCCTGGTAACCACAATACAGTTTTCTCTGACCATGTGTTGGTTTATATTCCACATATGAGTGAGACCATATAGTGTTTGTCTTTCTCTTTCTTGTTTATTTCACTTAACATAATACCCTCCAGGCCCATCCATGTTGTTGCAAATGGGACGATTTTGTCTTTTTTTATGGCTGAGTAGTATTCCATTGTATATATATATACCACGTCTTCTTGATCCAATCATTAGTCGAAGAACCTGAAATCAACAATCCAAAGAGGCTTATGCACCCCTATGTTCATTGCAGCATTATTCACTACAGCCAAGAAGTGGAAGCAACCTAAATGTCCCTCGACTAATTTGAACATTTTTATTTTTTAATTTTTTTTATTGTGAGGAAGATTAGCCGTGAGCTAACATCCGATGCCAATCCTCCTCTTTTTGCTGAGGAAGATTGACCCTGGGCTAACATCCGTGCCCATCTTCCTCTACCTTATATGGGACGCCACCACAGCATGGCTTGACAAGAGGTGCGTCAGTGCACGCCTGGGATCCGAACCTGTGAACCCCAGGCCACCGAAGTGGAGCGCATGTACTTAACCGCTGCGCCACCGGGCCAGCGCCTAATTTGAACATTTTTACATGGTTATTAACCATATATTCTTCTTCTTTGTGATTTATTAACGTCCTCTGTATATTTTTATTGGAGTTTGCATTTTTTCTTATTATAAGCACTTTTATTTAGTAAAATTTTTACTGCTTATTTTAGTATTTGTAAGGAAAAAGAACAGCTATATATGTATAGAGAAAAATTAGAATGTATATTTGCCAAAATATTAATAATGATTTTTTTAGGTGATGAAGTTTTGGACGATTTTAGTTCTCCTTATACTTATCTCTATTTTTCTGATTATTCTGTAATAGATTTTTTTTTACAGAACAAAGAAATGCTGGTTCTTGTGAACAATGACTGCCTCCCTAAGTAACATGTTTCTGATCTCTCAGCAAAGGTGGGGCTGGTTCCTCCCAGCCTCGCTTAGACCTGAGGGGACTCCGGGTGCCTTTTCCTCACATGCGCAGCTCCTGCCCTGTGCCTGGGCCGCACTGCCTGGGCTCCTGGGAGCAGTGGGAGAATGTGTGAGGTGTGGCAGTCAAAGTGTACTGCTGTTTTTCTTTTTTCCCCTGGCACGTGCAGCCTGCTATGGGATGGATGACGAAGAAGAGAACCACTATGTTTCACAGCTCAGGGAAGTCTACAGCAGCTGTGACACCACGGGGACAGGCTTTCTAGACCGGGAGGAGCTGACCCAACTCTGCCTTAAGCTTCATATGGAAAAGCAGCTGCCCATCCTTATGAAAACACTTCTTGGAAATGACAACTTTGCCAGGGTGGGTATTTGACTTCATTCTCGTAAAGAAAAGCACAGAGTACTATAGTTGGCTACTCCGGAATTTGAGAAATACCAGTGTTGACTAAAGGTACTCGTCAAAGGAAAGTTATTGGAAAATGGATTGTTTTTCCTTCTATGTAATGCCTACCTTGTAGAAAGAGTTTCCTTAAGATTACTTTTTTTAGTGTAGTAATTCCCAGAGGTTTGGTTTTGTTTCGTTTTTCCAGAAAGATGTTTGGGTGATTTGTTGGGAGGGGTTGGTATGGGTGGGTGGCGTGTGGTTCTTTGGGCAACTCACACACTGGTAAATCATTTAGAGACAGACAGCTTCAAAGTACCTTGAGGACAGATGGTCTTATAAAATTACACAGCTTGAAATTCATGTAGCAGCAGCTGGACAAAACAATTGCACACTGCTGTTGCAGGAACAAAGGATACCTATGTTCGGAGGTGTCCTTTGATTTCATTTGGCCAGATAGAAAATGTGAACTCAGAGTGTTTTTTTCTCTAAGAAGTTCAAGGTCATTTAGAATGGTGATCTAGAACTTAGACCACAACCTGCTTTCCTGATAGATACACTAAAAAGCACCTCTGCCTTGTTTCTACTTCTTAAATGTGGCCAGATGTTAACATGTTAGTGCTAAAAACAGTGCCTGTTATCTTGTTGGTCATTTTAACTTTGAAGGAAGAGCATTTTTTCCACAGGACTCAATAAAACTCTTTTCATTCTGAGTGAGAAAAAAAATCCAGCCTATAAATTTACCCACATTGGCTCTTGGGCAAAAACAAATGAAGAAAAACAACAAAACCCACTCACTGCTGACATAGGGAGAGAGTCCAGGCGAGTCGGACCTCTGGTTACTGCTCCAAAGCTCCACCTATGCGGGTTGCTGTTGCCTGTCAGAAGGGCGCTGTTACTCCCCAGTGGAGAACTACACCACAGTCACCCCAACCATGCCCTTTCTCTGTCTCTGTATTCTTGTCCTGCTTTTTTGTTAATGGACTTAAGAACAGATGTGGGTTTTTTTTGTTTTTGTGTGTGTGTGTGTGTGTGTGAGGAAGATCAGCCCTGTGCTAACATCTGCCAATCCTCCTCTTCTTGCTCAGGAAGACTGGCCCTGGGCTAACATCCATGCCCATCTTCCTCTACTTTATTTGGGACGCCGCCACAGCATGGCTTGCCAAACAGCGCGTCTGTGTGTGTCCGGGATCCGAACGGGCAAACCCCGGGCCGCCGGCAGTGGAGCGCGCGCACTTCACCACTACACCACCAGCCGGCCCCAACAGATGTGTTTTTGATAGATAATGTTCTGGCCCCTCCTGATGTCACCCGGAATTGTATTGGGGACCTGGATGAGCAAAAGGCACACTTGTGAAAATCCACACTCTGGTTATTTAAGCAGTATAAACAGATGGTCTGGTTTTCTTGATTATTTTTGTCAGTTTGGAAAAATCAAAACCAAAAGAATAACTTTTGGGCCCAAATTCAGATTGCAGGCTCTGGTGATCAAAGAAACCATATCATTTCCAAGCCTTTCTCCACTTTACACTTTGTATGTGCAGAAATAGTATAAGATTTAGAAACGTCAAATTATGACAGGAAAAAAAGATTAGTATTGGAACATCAGTGAAGAGAAAAATGATCTTGGGTTGTTTGAGATTTGTAACTTCCCCCCGTCACCTGCATCCTGAACAGCAGTTTCTCTGAGTTGTAATTCCTTCCAGAGGCTGAGAGTTTCTCCTCACACCTTTAGGAGGAGGGATGTTAGAAGGAGAGATAGACACTCATAGGTAGTGACAGGAGCCTGGCAATTTCTTTCTTTTTTTTTTTTAATTATTATTATTATTTTTTTTTTTTTGAGGAATTTTGACCCTTAGCTAACATCTGTTGCTGATCCTCCTCCTTTTTTCCTTTTTTCTCCCCAAAGCCCCAGTAAATAGTTGTATGTCATAGTTGTACATCCTTCTAGTTGCTCTATGTGGGATGCTGCCTCAGCATGGCTTGATGAGTGGTGTATAGGTCTGCACCCGGGATCCGAACCAGTGAACCCCAGGCCACTGAAGTGGAGTGTGTGAACTTAACCACTACACCACTGGGCCGGCCCCAAGCCTGGCCATTTCTGATTAACACTCGCTCTTGGCAGAGCTCTCTATGTGTTCATTCTTCTGTCCCGACTCCATTCTCTCTTACAGCCATAGTTTTCTGTTCCCAAAAAGGAAGTCAGGTGTTAGATAAATTAAGGAATAGCTTTGCTTCCATTAGTGCTCTTGAGTCTCACCTGAAGTTATTCTTTCTTCCTTCTCTGTCACACTTCAAGAGCATTGCCCTCACCAGCCAATGCCTTTAGGATGCCCTGCGTGTCTCCCTCCACCCCATCATTTTATGCGGCTTCCTCAGTGATGGCTGGTCATGCTGGATTATTTGTTTTCAGAACTTCTACTACTCCTTTGTTTCTTCCCACAGACAGGGCAGAGTTCACATAGCCTTCGTTTAGGTGCAACATTCTGTAGAGGTTTTAGAGGAAGCCGATGTCAATCCAGAAATATCCAGATAATTGTCCCTATTTTCTACAACCAGAAACCAAATGGTGGAGATTTGAGGAAGTTTTGAAGAAAATCAAGATAAATTCTTTATCTAGGAGAATGGATTGCCTTTTCAGTTCCAATACTACATATCCAGTTTCGTTGTAGTAACTAACACATATGACACCATATAAATGTTAGTCATTGATACAGTAATCCAGTTGTATAAATGAAAAAACCATATTATAATATTTGAATTAACAAGGTAATTTGTTTAATGCTGTGAGGGTGTGCTCGTTTTTAATTCCTTTTTCTTGTTAAAGAAACATTATCAGAGTCTGGTTTCAAGCCAGAAAGTTAATATAGCCTAAGACTCCTGTGATTAGTGGGGAATTTCCATGCACATTTTATGTTATATTCTCTTGTTTCTTTACTAGTGGTGAGGATCTTACCTCGAATATTTTAGATTTGGGCAGAGAGAGAATTTTTCTCTCAAAAATAATTATTTTTTTCCTTTTTGTGTGTGCGCATGTGAGGAAGATTAGCTCTGAGCTAACATCCATTGCCAATCCTCCTCTTTATGCTGAGGAAGACTGGCCCTGGGCTAACAGCCGTGCCCATCTTCCTCTACTTCATGTGGGACGCCACCACAGCGTGGCTGGACAAGCAGTGCGTCGGAGTGCGCCTGGCATCCGAACCCGTGAACCCTGGGCCACCAAAGTGGAGCGCACGAACTTAACCGCTGCGCCACCGGGCCGGCACAAAAAATAATTATTAATATAGTGTTACTGAAAATAGTGTTAAAGTTGAAAGTGACTCCAGATCACAGGGTCCAGCCCCTTCCTTTTGTGATGAGTGAGTCCGAGATCACACAGAGATGATGGTGTGTCCTATTAGGTCAAGCACTGGAATGCCGTGGGGTTGTTCTTCTTCTGTGAGCTATGCAGGAAGAGGACACAGGGACACATGCAGGCACAGTCAGAATGGTCTCAGACTATGTGGCACTACCCTTGGCCTTCAGATCCCACTATTGTTTTGGATAGAAGAAAGTCAGCCGATAAGTATTACCAGAGATACGAAAGAAATCTGTGATTAGATCAAGCAAAATTGCCATTTCATTATGCATCCATGTATTCAACATCTATTTTTGTGCGCTTATTATGTGCTGGGCAACATCCAGAAGCTAGGGATGCAAAGATGAAAGAAATAAAATTTCTCTCTTCGTGTGAAATGAAATATGTGCAAAGTGATTCATTCTAGTATTGATTCAAACAGAAAAATATTGGAAACAGCCTTTTCAATAGGAGATTGGTTAAATAAATTCTGGTAGATGCATATGATGAAATTTTATGCAGCCCAAACAAAGAACGAAGAGACTTGAAAATATTTAAAGGAAAGAGAGACCTCTAAAAAGTGATATATAACAAACCTGAACAAAGAACCAAGTAAAACTTCTAGAACTGAAAATTATGATGACCAAAATTAAAAACTAAATGGGTCTTCTTATGCTGTGATTCAGGGCTGAGGCCAGCTGCCCCCTTCTCTGTCCCAAACCTGACTGAGAAGGTCATCACCTCCTCCTCCTCCTCCGCTGCAGTGGTCACCTCCTGATCCTTTCTTTGAATGGGGGCAACTGTTTGCTGAAGTGTGATGTGTGAAGAGGTCAGAGGAAATGAGCACCTCAGGAGCTTAAATTCAGGTCTCAGCTAAGATGATCATCAGACTTCTGGGGAAGTCTGCAAGACTGAACTGTTCATCCATAGGACCTCCTGCTTACCTTCATATGATGAGGTTTTTAGCATTAATGTGAATTTGTTCAAAAAGTAGTTCTTGCCAGGAGTGACATCAGCATCATGGCAGAGTGAGCTTTCCCATAAACTCTTGCCCTGATAAGATACAACAAAAGGAACAGTCACAGACCAACAACGGACTCCTAGTCAGCGAAAAGGAAGATCGAAAAGATCCAGATCCACACTGCCGCACATCTGAGAGTGGAACGTGCTGGGGCCCCTGGAGGAAGTGGGGAGAGGTAAGGAGAACTCCTCTCCCTCCCCATCAGGTCAGCGATCTGCATGGCTCCCAGAGAGGGAGGAGGGGCAGCCCTCTGTGGGGAAACTGTGGCTCTTCAGTCTCTCTCAGCAGTGGGAAACTCCGACACAGAGGACTCAGAACTTCTACAGGGGTACCATCAACATCTGAGCACCCCAGGAGAGCGGATAACAAGGGGTGAGCAAGAAGCCCCGCACGCAAGGGACCCAGCAGGCAAAAGAGAGAGCCGCCCCCGCCTCCCTGCATGCCGGACACTGCAGCTCAGCCAACCAGACCAGACCAAGTGACCACCCGATCTCAGTGAGCAGCCAGGGCAGAGAGCACGGAGCTCAGATTACACAGCCCTTAACCCCCACACGGTGCTGGCGGGTGGAAATTGCAACCAGAGATTTCCAGGATGAGGAAAAACAAAGCCAATACAGGAAC